ATGGCCCCTTTTTCTGTATCAAGCTGCCCTTTCTCCTCATACAATAAACCTCCCTGTGTCTGGGTAATTACAGAAGGACTGCTCATCCTGTGTTAAGTTTGTGTTCACCTGTAACAGAAAAATACAAGACCGATGCCTTCCAAACCTGTTCTGGGTGAATGGTTTCCGAAATAAACTGACTACTCAACTTCACTCCTCAGTATGTGTTGGAGTGGATGGAGTCCCTTCAGCAAGGGAGTCAGCAGTGCAGCCTGTTTTGTAGCGCTGACACATTGGCAAAGATCCCTTCAGTGCATTCCTTGCTAAAAGTAAGATGTCATCCAGAGTTTAGTGCCCTCTCTGTGCCTTAAGACAACCTGATTTGCATCTATGGATTTTACAACTTCCAAATGCGGGTCACCATTTTCTCAGAAGAATTAGCCAGATAGGAAGAATTAGCAGTGTTTGGCAAGGTTGTCAGCATCATGAGGTTTTTGAAGCAAGGACTTAATCATGAACAGTTGAAGACCCCAACTTCATTTGAGGAACAGAATCCGATGATTTGCAATTCCTCTGAAGAGTGTGCCCAGGGCCTGTCTCAAAGTTTTCAATACCAAGACAAGCAGGGCAAAGGGGACATCTAAATGAGATTTTCTCTTGAGTATCAGAGTGAAGTCATATGCCTCACAGGAAGTCATTGGAAAAACACTTTTTTCAGGTGCTGTTCTGTAAGCATCAGTCAGGTCCCAAATCCTTGATGAAGAAGTCCTTGTCTTGTAGCTGAAGAGCATTTCAAAGTCTTTCCTATATTTGACTCTGTCAACTTGTGCAGCTTTGAAAAAGTCCTTTGCAGTTTATTGAAAGAATGGATTTCTAAACAGAAAATCATCTAAATAAGGTATGGCATATGAAACTTGCTAATCGTCTTTAAACCAGAAGATTTCATGAAAAGTGTCAATGTGGTGAATGTGATGGCTAAGTGAAGAAAAATATTTCTGTTTCAACCTTACAAAAACCAAGAAGAAATACGTAAAAATTCAAAGGTGAAAGTAGATACCAGAAATCAAAAAATCTACAAACAATCTTCTGCAGATTGACTCACAAAGAAATGAATTTACATTAGGTCAGAAGAGACCTATCTGGTATCTTGAATAGTTTTTAACTTCAGCTTTATTCAAAGTATAGCTTTTCTAAAACCTTCCAATCTCATCTTGAATTTCCATCATACTGCTAAATAATTTTTTCTCCTGACTGATTGCTTTCACTTTGTGCTGTATTTAAATTCTGGATTTTTCTTCTTCTCATGGCCTTCAGGAAACACGTCTGAAATGTCTAAAGTAAAAAGCCCTCCACCACTAGTAATCCTTCTATACAGGGGCTTAGATTTTAATCAAAACACTCCTGTCCTTCTTTTGAAACAATGAAACACCACATTTTAATTTTTTTTTCCACTATAAGGCAAATTTTCCAGATCTCAAATTGTTCTCAAAATGTTCTGCAGTTTACAGGACTCTCTCTAAAACAATTCTGCAGTCAAATGTAGAACCATTTCCTTGTTTCTGTGGAGTAGTGCTCTGCTTTGCTCCCAGTCTACTTCATGCTCAGCAGAACATCCATAGGATTCCCAAGTCTCTCCTGGAGGTGCTATTTTCCAATTGTGCAATTCCCAGTTCTGAAAAACGTAACTTAAATGTCTGACTTTACGTTTAGTTGAAAACACACATCTTTGTAATCTGTCTGAGCAGTGCAAGCCCCTGGTCTCTGCCATCACTGATAAATAAAAAGAATAGCTAGTAGTAATAATGGAGGATTAAATAGAAACCCCATTGGATTGTTTAGTTATAAGTATGTACTTTGTAGTCAGATTTACCAATTTGCCGGTTTCTGATTCCATTCACTGTGAGCAACATTAAGGAAGAAATTCTTCATTGATAGGGTGGTGAGGTACTGGTACAGGCTGCCTAGAGAAGCTGTGGGTGCAGGTGTTCAAGACCAGGCTTGATGGGTTCCTGGACAGACTGATCTAGTGGTTGGCAGGGAAGTTGAAACTACATGATCTTTGAGGTCCCTTCCAACCCAGCCATTCTATGATTTAGGGATGTTCACCCACATGTGCCTCTCTAGCTTCAAGCAAGGAAAGGAGGACACTCAGAACCTCAGTCTGCCCTATGCTGGCCAGATCAGCTAACATAGCATGCTTGTCAAGAGGAGATTTACCTTGTTATTTATGCACTGTCATGAAGGATTTATTAACTGAAATTGGGAAATTGCCACGTGAAAATTTTCTGCTCATTGGAAGAAGTTTTCTTCTGGACAAAAGGGCAGCAGTTACCCTACTTCAGATTGGTGCTAAAGGACAGCCTGAAGGAAGTGCATGCATGCACTCTTATCCAAACTCTGAATCTGTAGGAAACTTGGGAGTCTGGGCGTGCTGGGCTCTAGGAGCAATTGGGGTGCAACACAAATAATGCCCTGTTAATGACATTGGTGCTGCTGCTCTTAGCTTTTCCTATTGGGTGCTTTAAGTTTGCCATCAAAGCAAAATGTTATAGAACACTATTTAAACTGCTTATTCAACTGCTGAGTGTTGAGCACATGTTAATGCAGTTTTCTCCAGATATGGTAGTTTATGATAAATGTTACCAGATTTTTTACTGTTCGTGTAGTATGCTGCTAAACACTAAGACAAATGGGCCCACTGAAAGGGTATTTCCTTTGGAGGACACAAGCTGCAGACCACCCATGGAATAATTAAGCATCAATATAAAAAGCTAGAATAAAATATTAGTGTTTCAGAATCCTAATGAATAAAAGACATTTTAAAAATGAAGACCGTACAGATGGTCATGTTATTTTGAAAAATAACATGAAGGCCTCAACAGCATCTTGGGGGAAAGGACACAAGCACCCCCCCATCATGTTGCAGTACTGTTTGAGAAGTTATAAATATTTATGTGGCATATACTTACTTTTGGCAAGCTGCGGAGAGATGTGTGAAAGTATGAATAACTGTGAGGCCTGGGGCTTTTTTCATACTGACCTCTTGATGGACTGAAAAAGTAATTTTTTGGAGAGTTATTCAAGAATTACATTGCTGAAAAAAAGGAATTTCAATGGCCTTGCAATTGAGCACATTGCTTGCAAAGATTGGAGTGCCTACTGACCTGATATGGCAGAAAGCTCTAAGGTCAATTTGAATAACTTTCACAGCAAACAGAGAGAATAGAACATGGCTGCAGCAAGCCTTTGGCAAAACCGTCAGAGATTTCAGAAAGAAGAAAATTACCATTATCTGCTATCTAAATGTAACAGAAAAAAAGACTTTCCAAAGACACGAACAGCACTTGGGAACCCAAGTTTCACAAGTTCTTCAAGCATTTTTGGAGCAGCTTCTGCCTTGTCTGGTTTTATACAATAGAAGTAGAGGGGTCAGCTGTCACAATCTATTGAGATAGAATATAAAGGTTTACTGAACTTGAAAAGTATAAATCACTGAAGGTTTGGGTATCATAATTAGCAAGCAGTACAAGCATATCAGTTAAAATTTATTTTGTATTACTGAAAAAATGTAACCCTTCTCTATAAAATCATTTTTAATTTGAGACCCAGCTCTGCAGTCAGATCCCCGGTGCCATTTAACTTGCCATCAAGCCCAGGCATTGTGTGGGAAGATGATGGTGGGCTCAGACCTAGTGATCCTCTCCCACAACAAGAACCACAGTTCCATACAGAGAGGAAACTGTATCTTAGAGATTTAACCATGGAGACAGAAAAAAGACAGTGAAAGAAAATATAGAACAGTCAGACCTTTGGCTGCTAGGGCCCAAGTGCAACCATCTCCTATACCTGTAACTGCAGAAAAATGCAGTATTTGCGGACTGTGAGCCTGAGTATATGATAAACCTTTGTTTACCTGCTTGTTAACACCAAATCTTAAACATGGATTTGTGAGATGAGAGCCCTACATCTGCACAAGGCACACTGACTTCAGGTTTGAAACGCTTAAAGAAGCTCCTTGGACTGCTTGGTCTTTGTGCTGCTCCTTTGTGTCAGAGCACATTTCCCATGCAGTATGGAGTGCAAATGTGCCACCAAAAACTCTCTGTTCACACTGTCATTAAAATAATTTTTAGGAGGGAGATGTCAGAAAAGTCAAAGATATTGAGAGAACTATATGGAAAATGAATGAGCTTTCTTTACCTACGACTCTGTCTTTCAGTAAATAGTGCTTCTGTTTAAGCACTGCCCTTCTGTTTAAGTGTCCTTAAAGCGCTTGTTCTGGTAATCTGAAGGATGTTCCGCAGAAACTCCTGGTGAAATATAGTACAGTGCACCGTAATGTCTTTCGTCCTTAACATAAAAAAAAAAAAAAGACAAATGAAAATAAAAAGGCTGTTCATTCTTTTCAGAATCTTTCCTTTCCAAAATATTTCCTTCATCTTTAGCCTCTGCTTTCCAGATGGCTTTAAGCAACTGTTACTCTACAGCACACCACAAATTATATTAAGAAAGTGTAATTCCAAACTAGTTTGATTACTCCGATTAAGTAGAGAGCCACATCAAAAAGTAGCCTTTCTATATAATAAAAATGGTGATAATAGAGTAAGTCTCATAAGTCAAAGAGCTTTATTACCTCCTACTGTAGAAAAACATCTTTACTGCTGCTGAACGATGTATCCCTGGCTGGTCACGGTATCCTCATTTCCTGCTTAGATAGCAGAAGATACTCAGATAAAGAGTGAAAGGAATACAGAGCTGTGTGATTTATACAGAGGGAAGCATAAAAAAAGGATTTTAAAAGTAGAAGTGAAGCTATGCTTAAAAACTTGTGTTTGAACTAAGTTTCAAAACAGAAAACAAAGATTTCCTAAGTTTCTTGTGCTCACTTTGAATAGGATAGACTTGCTAATAGATCTGGGACCAAATGGGACAGAAGAAAGGACTGTTTACTGACTAAAATATCCTAAGACGTTCACAGCACCTGGCACAGCTTAAAACTAAATAGTATTATCTTACTGTAGGTTCAGAAAACTGTCTTGAACAGAAGCTGAGAACACCTCGTCGACGATGTCAGCAGCCCAAAATGCTGAATAGCCCTGAGGACAACATGTACTATAACCAGTTAAATGTGAGTTCAAAGTGGCAATAAAGCTGTTTTACTGGCTTTGTTTCCAGTTAATAATTCTGTTATTAATACCTGTTTCAGCCCCTCCAGCCCCACCCCCACGTTCTTCTGCTCTCGTCTTGAACATGTGCTTATGCTCTTTATCTGTTGCTTTCATGTCAGGATGTCTGCCTTCACGGTGAATAATTGATGTGGTTTATCAAAGACGAGCAAGATGCATGCTTCATCAGGCTCACTTGAGCCCTTTGATCAAAAAAATTATGCTGTGACTTCTGATATTATCAGCATCTGCTTGCATTCAACACAAAATCACTTTGAATTAAAAATTAACGACTTGCTGCTTTGCTTTGACTGTGTGTTCTTGGCCCTCTCCACAGGGAACTCTAGAATATCAAGGGAGCAAGAGGAAGCCAAGAAAACTTGGGTAAATATCTATCTTCTTAGTTCTAAGCAACTGTAAACAGAAGAAGTCCTTTGTGATATTACAGAATATGCAAAACTTTCTAGAGAGGCTTCTAAAAATAAACAATTAACATATCTCTGTGCATTGACATTGGACGTTTTCTACAGAAGCAAATGTAAAACTCGTATGTAGTGCTGTCTGCAGACACTAGAACTGATTCTTTCAAAACAGCTTCCCAGCTTTCTCTGGCTCCTACAAAAATAATCTTTGTTTTAAAATGTGTTTGCCACTATTGAGTGGTGCCAGATGAAAGGTATTTAACCTGAAGTCCTCTAACCTAGAATATGACCAGCTTTGCAGCTCCTCACTCACAGTAGGTTTCAGCCTTCCTAGGGGAGCAGATTTTAAGAGGCCCCTCATCCCAAGAGAGTGTTGCTGCTTCTCAATTCAGCTGAATCAGTTCTTGTTGTCACATGGACATTTACCACCTGGAAATAGGTACAAATTGGAAACAGTCTATGAACGTCCAACTGGCTACTTTTGAGTTATGAAAACATTTCACTGACTGGTGACATGGATTGGTGAGGACCAGTATATACTGGGTCTTGTAAAAGCATCTACTCCAAGACTACATTAGAAGCTTCTGTAATATTTTCTCACTTGTTAATCAATCTTCTGAATATAACCAGATGAATAGAAGGTCTTTGAGTCAAGGTTAAAGCCCAAAATTTTGTATGACTGAGCCGAATTTGATTTACTCAATTTCTCTCCACTATTTTAAAAAGTCTGTATTCCTGTTTTGGGAACAAAAGTACTGATATGAGGCTGCAGTGCTCATCGTACTTCACCAGAAAATGAAGGACCCTTGGTGTCAATAAGCTTTGCCCAAAAATTAGTGATGTGTTCTTTGGTTCATATGCACAGTAAACTGTCAGCTGAAATGCATTACCAAAATAATACCACATATACGGTACAGAAAAAAAAAACCACCCACATTGCTTGAGTGAAATGCCCATTTGATGCAAACAGTTTGTCTATCATTCTGTATAGCTAAAAAAGAAAAACTGTATTGCCTTTCACTGATCCTTAGAACCATTCAGATTCCAATCATAAGCAGTAGCAGCAGTAGCAGCATAGAAGTCACATGTAAAAGCTATGTCTTTCTACTCTAGCCTTTTTTTTTCCTTTCTTGTATTAGCACCCTTCATTTTTGCATCCATAGAGAAGTTTCTGAAGATATTGATGTAATTGATTTTTTAACTTAATAAATGTTGTTTGTTTTCTTTCAAGCCAAATCAAAGTGCTTGATGGAGAGGATGAGTATTACAAATCACTGTCAGCTGTTGAATCTATCCCTGAAGATGACAGCTGTCTCAGTTCCCCATCTCCTCCTTCTTCAAGAGGAGTGTCTTTTGCTCAAAGCTGAACTTACTCTGTTGACTAAAACTGGTAAGAGTATTTTCTTGCTGGTAATCTCTTCTAATTAACTTTGTGCTTGCTTATGTAATCCATTTAAAAAAATACACATTCAGTTAGCAACTTCCTTTCAGTAATTTAGATCTGGTTTTGCAGATACAAATTGTATTTCTGTAAGCAATTCCAGTAAAGGAAGCAGCACTACCTGTACGTGTTGATGTTGTTAACCAGCACATTTCCTTAGCAGCAAGGTTAGTTCACGCAGATCCAGCTCCTTCCTCCCCACTCCCCCAGCTGCTGTTTCCAGCCTGTGCCATCCCGTCTGTTGTGCTGGCACAACTGCTGTGTGGAAAATAAGATCAAGGAACTGATCTATATTAGAAGAACACTGTACTAAAAAGCATCTTTTGGGGTCATGGTGAAAATGTTCTATATTTCCTTAGTCTAATATTAAAACTCTATCATTTATAACTTTCTATGCTGTGAATGGTTTTTAACATTACAAAAATGTACAGAGTAAATTCATCTAAAGTAATGCATGTCTTAATTTACCTCATAAGTATTTTTTCTTATGACGCATTAGTTTGCCATAAGTTTAACTAGAAAAACTATTTCAAATATAAGAAGCAAAACAGTTTTAATGCTAACATTAGACGATTTCAGATTGCTTCATATAGCCCTTTTGACTGAAACCATCGTTATGACTAGGTATTCTTGTTATCTGTGCAAGTATCCTATATGTTTCTTAACCTGGGCTTAATCTCTGTGCTTGAGTGATTCCTCCACTTCCACAGCTCTTTTGTATGTAACATGAAATAACGTCACCTACAAATTTTTCAACTTGCTTTTCACTTTTTTTCCAAATTCCTAGTGAAAACACTGTTAATTCCTATGGAACAGAGACACTTTGCTGGTAACAACTTCTGTGGAAAAGCTGACTACTTTGCTTTACTTTCAGCTTCTGACCCGCGGTTTTGATCTGTAACAATTCTTTCTTTCTTTTCTATACATCTCTTGTAAAAAAACTTTTGGAAATAAAATTTTCTTATGTGTACTGCCTTAAAAAATCATTTTGAGCAGATTTAATTTTTGACAAATGATGCTGAGTAAATCTGACCATTTGTTGTACAGATCTAATGTTGATGCTTGTTTTCATTTCCCCTCCAATGAGTGCTATGCCCTGTGCTAACAAACCTTCCTACTTATGGAGGTGCAGTCCATGCTCATTTGGAATGCTACAGAATTTCTTGCAATCCCAGTTTGCTTGATCCATCTTTTTGACCACAGGATGAGGAAAAATGTCATAGGAAACAAGAGGCAAATGTGGTTGGAGCATCCCCTAGGTTAGAATAGGGTTTGAAGGTAGAGAGTTCAGCTAAAGTTTTGTCTCCCTGAATAAACCCAGCAGTGAAGTCAGGGCAGGACAGCTGAGAACAAGAAGATTATGTTGTTCCAAGGACAAGCCTTCATTCACTTTTCTCCCACAGTGTGACAATAGTTAAAATCCTGCAAGAGGCAAGAGTCTTTCAGTTCACTCCTTACTCTTCTGCTGTACATCTGGGTGTGGGCTTTAGAGCCTTTAAAACTTAAGGACTCATTAAAATGGTGAGTAGCTGCAGATGAAGCTGCATTACATTAGAAGATGCAGTACAACCATGAATGGCAATTTATATGAATTCATACATGAAGGTCAGTTTTCTTTACTTTTCATCAGAATATAACAAGAAGTATTTGTTATGATTCCTCATCAAAAATAACATAAAACTTTTCCTACATAATGCATACATTCTCCAGGCCCATTAATCTGTAACATATCTGGATGGAAAATGACATTATTTTGAAAACAGTCCAATAACTAAACTATGTTCTTATATTGGCATAGGTCTTAGGGAGCTCTAGCATTATTGGTGCTTTGTGGTTTCATCTCTCCTTTGATAATACAGTTTCACTCAGAAAATAAAGTTTTATTGTTAATGCAATGCACATCATTATGTATAGTGAGAGTTTATCAATTGTTTCAGTTAAACAGAAGCAAACCTCCCAGTTAGGTATTACATCATTTGTCTAATAACCAAAAGCTTATCTTACACTGAGTAATGCATTATGTGGAGTAGTTATATTAATTTCATAAAGAAGTAAAGAGTAGTAAAAAAATAATTTATAATTCAGAGAAGCACTTAAGCTGAAACCCAAGTCCTGCTGGAAATTTCAGGTTATGATTAAGTGCTTTGTTGAATGGGCCGAGTTAACAGCTTCAGAACATTAAATAACAAGCACAAACAAAAGGCAAACGTTCTCTAGATGCATTCCTTAGGTTCTTCTTATTTCTTCTTCCCAATTATTGAGTTTGCATCAGTCTTAGTCATCAGAAATGGACTTCAAAAGATTTTGTGTCATATTTTGAGCACTCTTGAATTGCATGGAAAGGGTAAAATATAACCTCATATATAACCACTATCTACATCTGATATAACTTTTCAAATTGGTTTAATGTCACTAATATTTTTATTCTGAAGTTACTATCTGAGAACCACTACAGAGCTGTGCATTCTAAGTCAGAACTGTGCACAAAGCTGGTCTGTGCTTGGCTTTATTTCATAACTTACCCCTTTCTTCATATGCTGTTTGGCTGATTCACTTCACACTCACCACGTAACGCCCTTGAGGTGGGTTTTTTCTCATCTTTACTTTAGTGCACATGTATCCCTTTAGATTATTAAGGGCCATCTCCTCAACGTTGTGCTGCTGGTGACCAGTTGGCACAACAGATTTTCACAGTTAAATGTGCAAAAGCAAAATGAATTCTAAAAAAGATAGTTATGAAAATACACAAGATTGGTTACAAGCACAGGTGCATAATGTGCCCCAAGAAATAGGGAGAAGCAGTGCAGGAGACGTGTCAGTCTGATGGTCGTGGTCAGTGAGCACGTCAGCACAAATTGCTCAGATTTTCTCATTTGGTTTATTATTTATTATTTCATTCTGATTTATTTTCTTTCACGTATATTATCATGACATATTAATGTGTTTTGCTTAATAGTTCATAACATCCTGTTCTTAATATTTTATAAAAGTAAAGACTTTAAATCATGTTATGAAAAAGAAAATTTCATAGACCGTGTCTGTAATACATTTCACACTTTTCAGTGAACAGGAGAGTAAAGAGTGACGACCAACAAGAGATTTTAGTAGCTTCCTTCCGCAGACCCTAATGGCACTAGCAGCCAGTTCTGCCTTTCAGTTATGGCAGCATGAAAACTCCTCTCTGTGCCAACACACATTGGGCAGGGAGCTTTTGGAGATTAGTCCCTTTCATTTGGTAATTTTAAACTTGCTTCTCGCTTAAACATTTACATCCCTTCAGTAACATAAAGGGACCTTAGAATAGGAGTAAATTGCAGCCCTCTTAAATTTGCCCCCACTGTGACCTCCCTCACCCATATGCCATAAGAGTGGTGGAAAGGGCTTTTGTGTACTGAGGATCTTTTAAGTAGTCCCCGTCGCACCATCTGAGGAGCTGTTACTTAGAAGCTTATAAAATATACATCTATATAATGTAAAACTAGAAACTTTGCTGAGACCAGTCAGACCAAAAGCTGATGTTCCTTTTGCTGGCAATGACCACATTTTTTAAGTTGTAGATACTTTTCTCCCAGTACTGAACAGCTACTGATTGTCTTGTGTTATTTACTGTAGTTGCATAATGCTTTTAGAAATGTATTCTCACATGATATTTTGTTCTATATTATACAACTGTGAGTGTTTGTACTTCCAAGTAATTGTCCCATCGTCTTTTAATTCCACCCAGTTCCTAACTTCTGATATGTTGTGGTTATGAGGACTGTGCATGGCACATTACAAACAAAGTGGATTTTTTTGTTTCAATTTAAATGAAAATGAATTTATTTAAATATGGTCCTTTATAACGGAATAGGGCACCTTCTAACAGCATTGTCAGAGGGCAAGAAGGAGCTATCAGTTATTTTCTTCACACTACTTTTTACACACCTCCGGTGCACTTCTCATTCCATATAAATGGCTACAGACCATAAGGATTTGTAAGAAGTCTCATCATGTTGCTATTTTCCATATTTATGTCTCTTCAGTTTTTGCTGTATCTTATTTAACAGTAGTCTTAACTGAATAATTTCTAACCTTTATTGGTATAGCCAATATCCATTACAGTGATGGAAAATGTTTTTATTTATTTATATATTCTATTCTGTTTAAAAACAGACACAGCTTTAAATATAGACAATATTAAAAATTAAAAGTAGAAGAAATGTAGTGTCTGTAGATCTAGCAGTCTTATTCAATATTGAACTCTGTAAACTGTAGGAAATCAGGGTGTTTCATATATCTGGTGATGTGGCTGTCTCTGATGGAGCAATGCATGTGTGCCCAGTTCCCACAGCATTAATGCTCAGTGCTCTCATTTCAGTATCTGTTGATCTTTACTTGGTTTCACGTGTATGAGAACAGATGATCAGATCTCACATTTTAGAGCTCAAGTACATAACTGTAAGTAGAAATTCACAAGTTTCTTTTTCAGCAAAAATGAAGAAGTACACAATTAAGCAAAAAGATATTTGATTTTATGGACAGGAAGTAAGAAAGTAATTTTGTGGTGGAAGCAAAGGACTGGAAGTCAAGGTATCTGAGTGGTACTAGTCACTATTTTATATCAGATTTATATTTATGTGAAATCAGATTTAAGCCCCAAGCTTAAATGTTGCCCTTCTTGTTTGTTTGCTTGTGTTTAATGTTATATTTGAATACTTAGTTCCCTTCTCTTAAAAGAATTGAACATGGATAGGGATATTGCTTTTGTATTGTAAAAGAGTTAGCAATGAAATAAATAGCTGAAGTCAACCATATTCTTATTTCTCATTCCTAATTTTTTTTTTCTCAAAACAGAAGGAGAATTTTGGGAGACAACCAAACTCTGGCATTTTTTAATGTCTTCTGGTTAACCAGATACATAATAGTACATACGATTTAAAATAAGGCCATATGGCACAGAAGTGTCATCCTATATAGGAAACAACTAAATAGTTTTAGTTCTGGTATATGCACAAGACATGGCATCTAATAACCTTACCTATCCTACTTTTTACTTTGATAACGAAATATTAAAAATAATGTCAATTTTATTGTTAGCATCAGGAGTATGTTTTGTTAGTGTGCCTTTTCTTTAAGACAGCTCATCCCCGAGAGGAGTTGTAGCAGAATGCTTAGCTAACAGAAAATGTTTCTGCATGACAGCAAAGCAGGATTTCAGACTGACAGAAGTAGCACAGGATGCTGTGAGAAGCCAAGGCCTGGGAGCAGCCCTGTAGGCCTGAGCTAGAGGTTATAAGGTCGGTGAGAGGCTTTGTGTCTCCTTTGTGCTGGGACTGGAACTGTGAAGGGAAGAGGCCAATAATTCAAAATAATAGCACACTGTGTCTTCAAACTCAGGCTGATACCATGATTCATCTTAATGGATTTCCCAAGAATTATTGGAAATTATTTTATTACATGTATAAATCCAGTATCAGTCAGAAAAATAAATATATGCAATGTGTTACTGGGGGAATGTTTACTGTAGCACTTGTGCTGTGATGCTAGAGGACATAGGAACAGATAAGTGAAAAACACATCTTGGAGTTACGTTTCCACAAACTAGATTACATATTATTGATCAGGCCAGCAGTAGATTAAATCCCTTGCTTTTTTGAGAGCCCTATTTTTTTAACTAAGTTGCAGAGAGAGATTATTTTTCCACAATTTAATAGCATTTTGTAAGGTCATTGGGAAATGGAGATGGCAAGTAGGTAGATTAAAATTTGCATTCTGCAGAAGACCAAACTCCCAGTTTCTGAGCAGTCTCTAGTGAAAATTGGGTTTGAAGCTCTCAAAACCAGTATGGCCACAACACAGACTGCAGGCAGTCAGCTGGGCTGGAGCACAGAACTGGGAGGGAGGGAAACCTGTCTGGGCTGTGTCCCAAAATTATCATCCTATGGATCATGGCAAGTGTCAGGTGAAGATATCTGTCTAAAACA